GAAACTACCCGAGAACAACGGCCGTTCGCCTTGCACCCTTGGAAACCAACTGACTATCTTTTCTTTCTTCCGAAACTAACTAACGTCTCATTCTCCAACCAATCATCCCACCTTTTTTAATTTCATCCAATCAAAACGCGTGATCCATCTCCCATTTTTTCATTTCGATAACAAACAAATTTTTATCTATAATTATAAAATTTCCTAAAACTTATTTACAAATAATATTTTTCTACAATTTTTAAAAACTAATAAAAACCTATCTTTCTAAAATCTATTCTATTGTCCTAATCACTGCACTAATGTATTTGGAAAACCCGGTTCAATTGTCTTTTATTTCACTTAAGCTTATTCACGTCATACAAATATATTTTAACAAAGAAAATAATTTATGCATATCTTACGTTTTGTTAAATACAGGTAATCCAAAATTAAAAGACTTTCATTCTTCCAAATGTTTGTAGTTGATTGTTTGACTTGTCTGAATTATTTTAATGTTTTTGAACTTTGAAATATTTTAATCAAACCAATACTTTTCTCGATTTTACATATCATAACAATATATATATATATATATATATATATATATATATATATATATATATATATATATATATATATATATATATATATATAAATATATATTGCTGCAAAAAATACGACTGTTAATCAAATTTAAACTATATGCAATGTTTGAATAGCAGAGGTTTGATCGGTCAATAAATGGCAAATGAAAGTCGTCAGCTACTTCATTAATTTACTTGAATACGTTTCGCATTTGGTTTAGCAAAATTTTTAAAGCATCATCAGTTCACTACAAATATCAATGATCTTAGAATATAAGTAAACAACGAACAGTGTTCATACTTACAAAAACAGTTTGAAAATTTTTTAGATGTAATAAAAACTCTACGATAACTTAACATTAAAAACAACTAAGTAAACGAGAAAAAAGAAACAAAAAACACAAAAACAAACTGTAAGAGAGCACTATTCAGCATAAAAAGGATTCATTTTTTCTTAAAAAAAAGGAAGAAGAATAGGAAATGAAGTTAATATCTTGTAAGGGACTTTTTTATTTGTTTTGTATGATGAGAGAGTGACATATCTGGCTCAAGTTGTCGATGTTGGTTCCTTTATTTAGGGACGCTGGATGTTTTAGAATTTGGCACATTTCAAGGATGGATCGCTTGTGATAATTTTGTTGTTTGCACAGTATTTTGATATTCGTAAAATCGATACTGTGTTTAGTGGAAATGGCATGTTGTGCAAGGGCACAGGATGGTTTTGAAATCCTAATGTCGCTTTTATGGGACGTTAGTCGACCTTGAAGAGAGCGGCTGGTCTGGTCAATGTAGCAGGAGTTCTAGAGGGGCCAATGGAGTTTTTGTCTTCGAAAATAACTTTCCTAAAGTTCTGGTGTGTTTTAAAGTTATTTTAATGGGTAAGTTTTTAAAAAGTTTGTTAAGCTTGTTAGTGATTTGTGGGAAGAACGGGAGCGAATCATATTTTGTGGTTTGTTCAGGAGTGAGACTTATTCATCTGTATTTTGTTAGAAATGGACGCTAATGTTAGCCCGTTTGGTGTTTCAGTAATGGATTGCTCACAGCTTTTGGAATATAGAAATTTATTGATGATGGATGCTGAATAGGAGTTATCTATGAGAATGGACTTCGGTAGATTGAGAGATTCTTCTCTGTAAAGCGGGTATATCAACATGTGTACTCTAAGGCTGAGGGCTTGTACCAGGTTAAGTTTATATCTGATTTTGTGTGTCGAATGGTAATTTAAGAAACGGTTGCAAGCCATTTCTTTTCTGTACCAGATCCAGTGTGCGAATAATTCGCATATCTAAAAACGGGATACTGTTATCAACCTCAAATTCACATGAAAAATTTTAAGAACCTCATTTTTTTTCAAAGTATTGAAATAAACGTTAATCAAATAACATTAATAATTATATGTTTCCATTGACAATATGCATATTTTCTAAAAAAAATGCATATTTATTGCAAATTTTCTAAAAGAAATGCATATTTAATGAATATTTTTGGGTAAATTTATGCGCATAGTTTTCACTTTTTTTGCATGTTTGCCTAAGTCTAATGATTAGTGTTGTCCATAAAAACTAAAGACTACCACAGTGTTAGACGTAATCCATAAGTTGTCCCCACTAAACAATCTTACGATGCCGTCCGGATGTTGGCGAGTTTCTAAATGCACACTGTATTATAATATTGTATTTATTATACGGTTACTTGGTGTTCCACAATTTAAAGAAAAAATAATCATTAACCTATAATTTAAAGAAAAATATTTTCCTTGGGTGTTTAATTTATGTAAGTACCAATATTATTAGGAAAAAACCCATTAAAACCATTCAACATTCCAAGAATGTTATAAACCGTTTTGGATAAAACCAGAATGAATAGTGCACCATTCACTATTTGGTAATCGTTTGGAATTCCACCGATATTACGAGAGATATAAATACAGGTAAAAGTAGAGGTGGGAATCGATTTATTTTAAAAATGCAATATTTTGTAACGGAAAACTTGACATGCAATAAAAATTATGAATTGAAAAAATGCGAACAAAATCAAGAGTACCTGTAAGTTAAGCTGTCTCGGCTGAGAATTGCCGAGAGTAACTATTAACGTGCCGACTTCCAAATCGGAAGATATTTTAAATTAATAACATAATTTGAAACTAGACTAATAGTAAGATTGTTCTTCGTTAGAATAAACAATTGCCTTTGTAATTTATGGTAATGAAACTTCATTACCATAAACAACGTTTCACAGAACAAATTTGGACCAACATATTCCGATACCAAACATGAAATAAAGTGCAGTATGCCATAAGTAACTACTGCCGTTTGATACATTAGTCACCGATTAGTTTCGAAATTATAGTGAAGTCGTTTTACCCTTTTTACCCTGTCGTATTTCGGATTAACGCCCGAAAAATAATTTATGACTCTAGTTTCAGCCACTCTGTTATGATTTCCCTTTTCTACCTGCTTTGTGGTACCGAACCTCCTACTGGTCGGCTGTAGTACTTGAGGATAAATCAGCGCTACCAAAAAGAACCGCTGAGTATTTGAGGCAAATCTAGACAGACACTTTTATTACTTATGCGGCAGGCTAAAACGATCCTACTTTATTAACATCCTCCACATGAGTCTTGTCTGGAATTTTCACACATCGCTACACAGTCAGCTGATTCCGTGAGATTCATGTTAATGTACATAATACTGATAAATTTAAAAAGAATAACCAACTTTTTTTTAAATAGCTTTTTTGGTATATAGACACGATACCGGTATGCTATTGCGCACGCTAGCTCTCTCTCTCGCACTGTGTGAGGTCACGTGCGACGCAGTTTCTATTAGAACACTAACGTTTGCCCTGTTAGTCGGTTAATATCAAATATATAGGCAATCAAATATATATATATAAGCATAAAAGCATGCATATTTAGCACTTTACATTATAAGATGTGTAGTTTACACATTTAGTTAGCTTAGCTTAATTTACAATGTTTCAGTAATGAATCCGGCCGACAGTTCATAATAAAGATTTATTGAATATTTTATACTACATTATTAAAATTTATTTCTTAAAGTAAACTTTGACATATTGTTGTAAAGTTTTCTTTGTCTCTAATAGTTACTGAAACCAATCTGTTTGTTCATTTCTCTTAACCTTATATATTTGCATGTCCTACTGAAACATAGGAGGAGTACCTCAAATGTTATCGTGGTATTCTCAAGCTAAGCTAAAGTTTTGTCTGCCAGCTGTTGAAAGATTTTAGGTTTTTTTGATAAATAGGTTTCATGATTGTACAAAACAATGAATCCATTTTTAATGTAGCTTTCCACAATTCATTGTTTGGGTACAAAAGAGATCCTCTAGAGACAATCTGTATCTGGTTCCATATATGTCTCATGCGTTTTTGTATGGTTTCCTAAACTATATTTATGTTTGAATTTGTATGTAACAAAACCAGCAACATACTTCAAAGAGTGAAGAGATTCCCGAAGAATTTTTTCTTTTACCTTATAATTGTCTGCGACTTTCAAAACATCATCGCCAATTATATGACCCTCCTCTAAGTGGTGAGCTTCTTTAAATGTATTTTGAAGTATTTTGTCCTCTTCAGACTGAGATTACTTTAAACCTTCACTTTTTTCTACCAAATTAGACAGCCAAGCAAATATCTTCTGACGCCGAAATATTGCTTGGCAATTGAGGACTTTCTATCCATAACTTAGCTGTTACTTACGCAGGATTTACTAGTTTCAATAGTATTGCGACATTCTGTAAAGATCTCCGCCGAATGTTTTCCTAAAAGCAGAATTTTGAAGCAATCTGGATTCTCTTTTGCAGATCAGATATATTTATAATATATATAAGGAAGCCAAAACAACAATTAAAGTATATAAAGGAACAAAATCATTACAAATAAGTAGAGGCGTGAGACAGGGTGATACAATATCACCGAAACTTTTCAATCAGGCTCTTGAAGATACTTTTAAAAGATTAGAATGGGAAAAAAAAGGTATAAAAATTTGTGGACAACACTTGAACCATCTAAGGTACGCTGATGACATAGTATTGATAACCGATAAAAAAGAAGAATTATTTGAAATGATGAAAGAACTGGACTTAGAAGCTGGAAAGATAGGCCTTAATATGAATTACAGCAAGACCAAAACTATAACAAATACAGATGAAGACATCACAATGAGAATCGAACAAGATGAAATAGAACAAGTTAAGGATTATATATATCTTGGTCAAACAATAAAACTTAACAAAGAGAACCAAACAGTAGAGATCAAGATAGATAGACTGGCATGGGCTGCATTTGGCAAACTAAGCTACATTCTTAAAAACAAAAGATATCCATAGCATCTTAAGACCAAACTATATAATCAATGCGTACTCCCTGTTCTTACTTATGGTTCCCAAACGTGGACATCTACAAAAGCAAACATGGACAAAATCATAAAAACCCAAAGAGCAATGGAAAGACAAATGTTGCAAATAAGACTAATGGATAAGAAGAGAAACGAGTGGATAAGAGAGAAAACAAAAGTGAGGGTTGTTAGACAAGAAGTTGCAAAATTGAAATGGAGATTTGCCGGACACAATATAAGACAAAAAGCAGACCGATGGAACAAAATTCTTATAAGTTAGAGACCGAATATAAACGAAGCAGAGGAAGGCCCCAAGTGAGATGGGCAGATGATATCAAAAAGCACGTGGGCTCTGGATGAATGACTGTAGCGACAGACAGAGAAGAATGGAAAAGGATTGGGGAGGCCTATGTCCAAAGATGGACCGAAGAAGGCTAATTAGATAGAAAAGGATCATAACCATTGTTGACAGCTATTTGTTTTATGGTGTTAAGTTCGTTATTAAAAGAGTTAGTTGACATAGGTAAAAGCAGCAAATTTGTGTGATAGACGGTGATTGGAGGAAGAATGAATGTCATGATCGGTTTGGGTGGATTTACGAAAGACACCAAAGTCGAATTGATTGTTGGAAACATTAATGGTTATAAATGTGATTATAATAGGATAAATGTCAAGTAATAAATAATTTGAAGAACAAACTAAGACATTCATTCTTATTTATTTCTGATATATTTAATATTTAAATCAGATCTACATCCCTTCTGGACAGTTCAAATCGATCTCAAACACATGCTACTATATGTCCGAAACAACTAATCTATTACTAAAATGATATTTATTAATCAAATAATGTTCGACATACATTGTAAAAAATAATTTAGAATTCACTTCCGCTAATAAATTTGTTATCGCTGTAATGAGTAATAATAAATATCCTAGATAGATGGTTACAGAATACAAGTACGGATTGATTCTTTAAAATTACCAATAATATTCTTGGTAATTACCTTATACAGAACATATTTCAATTTAATACTGATATAATATAAATGATAGTTTAATATTTTTTAATATCATCCATTTAAATATAAAGATAACCATATATATTTCCTTGTTATAAATATCTTAAAAATAAGTTCCAAAATAACTAACAGTAGAATCGTAAGTTCCCATCTCTTTCTTACCTGATATTTTTTAATGCTATCTAACTGATCTTGAGTAGGTTCTGCGCACACTGGCGTTGTGACGGTCGGGGTGGTATTATTACCAGGGGTGATGCTATTGTTATTGGTAATTCTGGCGGGTAACTGTGGAGCAGGTGCCCTGTTGACTAGACGACCGTCCTTTTCGATCTTTAGGTGATCTCGGGGCGGAGGTACGGGTTTCGTCGTTGCGGCGGTATTATCGGATAATGAGGTTTGACACACGGTGGAATCGTTTAGCCCACTCTGTAACAATTTAAACAACTTTTTAAAACAAGTAATCAATATACAGTATTATATTTAAAATATTATTCACCGACGACGTTAGAAACAATACTACTACTACCTTACTACCACCACCTTGTAAATTGAAATGTAAACTTAAACTTGTAAAGACCGTTCACAAATACAGGGCCTTCATTATTCATTCGGCTTCTTAAAAATGAGTTAAGATTTATGAATTAGGATTCTAAATTCTAAGAATTTGAACTTAATAAACTACCTGAAAGTTGTAATCTTTACTACCTTGTTATTGGGGTTAATTTTGGAGTATTCAGGGAATTAATATTTAATTATTAACCTGTACAGTACATTCAACCAATTTACACCTCTAAACGATTAACAGAATACGCAGAAAACCTTTCCTTATAGTAAAAGGCACGGTAAACTGCACTGGTGTTCTAAATAATAATTACTTTGTATATAATATTTTTGCCTGTATAACCAGTTAGAGTTAATTTGTATAAAATAAGGAGAAAAAATTCAAATAGAACTTTAAATAATATTGTTTATTTGGCTAATAGTGAATGTATAAATATAATGGTTAACCTGCTGTACAATTATTTTGTAAATAACATTATAATAGTGTAGATACTTATTGATTATATAAATTTAGAAATCACCATTATCGTCACTAAATTCACTACCATTATGTAAATCTATAATCACTGGATTAATTTCATTAATTTTATTTTTCCGGATCCACCACTCTTTATGAATTTTTCACATTTATTTACAGTTTTGACCATATTTCTGGAGTTGCAGTTTTAAGAGCTTCTTGCCACATTCCCCTAACTGCACTGTCACTGTCTCCACTGCATTAAAAGTGATTATCATCGTCCGTTCCACGACCGTTTTGGTTGTTTCTCCAAAATCTCCGAATGGTAAGGTGCATTATCTAAAACTTTAACTGATGGTTCACTCAGACTAGGTAACAGTTTCTTCTCAAGCCATTTAACAAACACATATATGCATTCATGTTTTCATGGTAATCAGCAGATTTTGATTTTGAAGAAAAAATCAAATCTGTGTTTTCTATAAAGCCTCCTTTCCCTCCTGTATGAAGAATGATGTGTCTTTTGCCTTCGCTATCTGTGTGTTTTATTGATTTTATGCTGTCGTCTTGCCAAATTCTTTTAATTCCATCATCATCATCACTGGCTCGACAACCCTTTGAGGGTCTTGGCCTGTTCCAGGATTCTTCTCCATCTTAGTGAAATAATGTTTTATTTTGGTTTAAGATATTTCTTGAAGACTGATATGTTCTAATTTTAAATTAATTGTAACTTGTTTGGTAAAAAAAGAGAATAAATCAAACTATTACAAAAATTGTGGACTATATTTTGTGCTACCTAAATAAACAAAATATAGTACCAGTACGGTATGCGATCTACCGCAGTTTAGCTGATTCGGAATGCGCTCTAGGCCTTTTTAAAATAGGTACAAAAACAAATTAGAGAAACCATTACAATCTCATTACTGGTCAATTAAGAAAGGAAAAGCAAACTAGGGAAATTATGACAAACTCAAACAAATTAGAAGTTGAAGCTGGGTTAGTAATTCACTCGGACGAATGGTCAGCATACGGCAATTTGCGCCAATTGGGCTACGTGCACTCAAGCCTTAACCACTAGAAAAATTATATCTACCCACAAACAGGAGCACATACGCAAGGGATAAGAAATTCCTGGTTGGAGGGTAAAATTACGATTTTAAAGAAAATGAGAGGTGTTCCTGTCAGTACTTTGCAGTCCCATCTGGATTATCTTGCATGGAAAGTGCTACGAAGAAATGTAGAAGATAATTTTATCATTTTTCTGCAAGATGTTAGAAATGTATATGTATAAATGTCTCTAATTAAATCTTGTCATATAACGCATAAAAAGAAAAATTAAGCAAGCCAAAGAATCCTGGCTTGAGAATTTATATAAAGAAATAGACCTTCAAAAAAAGAATGACAGTTTCAACCTCCACAAGAAACTTAAATATACTGCCGGAATTAGAAAACAGAAAAATGCTCACATACTTAAAAGCGCGGACGGAAAGATTTATAATCACGAACAACAGTGCAAATATTGGGAGAGATGCATCACTGACCTTGTTGACGATGCTTCTAGAGAAAATGCTCCAAATACTGCCTGTGACAACCAGTTAGACAGAGGTCCCAGTATACTGAATTTGGAAGTCAAAAAGGCAATACAGCAAGCCAAAAACAATCAAGCACCTGGACCAGATCAAATCCCTGCTGAGCTACTTAAACTTTTGGATGAGGAAAGCATTGCCTGCTTAACCACTTTCTTCAACAAAATTTACAACGAAGGAAAAATACCAGATGATTGGATAGAGTCACTGTTTATAACATTACCAAAGAAAAGCAGGCCCACCAAATGCAGCGATTTTAGACTAATCAATTTGATGAGTCACACACTGAAGATACTCTTACGAATTATACAAAACCGAGTATTCCTTCTATGCGAAAATAGGATGGGTAATAAGCAATTTGGATTTAGAAACGGTCCAGGAACTAGAGAGGCACTATTCTCTATGCGCATTCTATTACAAAAAAGTTGTGAATTCCGTAAGAATGTTTATGTTTGTTTCATCACTTCGAGAAGGCGTTCGACAGAGTACAACACGATACACTTTTCGATTGCCTACTGGCAGCAGGACTTGACCACTATGATATAAGACTGCTGAAATACTTATATTACAATCAAGTAGCCTCTATCCAAATTGGAGACAGTCCGACTGAAAAAACATCCATCAAACGTGGAGTACGGCAGGGTTGTGTTTTGTCACCCACTTTTTTTAATCTGTACTCTAAAGAAATCTTTAGGGAGGCTTTGGATGACAGACAAGAGGGAGTAAGACTAGGTGGTGAAGTAATCAAGAATATTAGATACGCTGACGATACAGCCATTCTTGCAGAAAATTTACAAGATCTAAAAACATTACTAAATCTAGTAGGTGAAGCAAGTTATCGGAGAGGTTAAAATCAACATTTTAAAGACAAAGTGGATGGTAGTTGGAAAGATCAATATAGATCAAGGTCTGATTTCTCTTAATGGAGAGGAGATCGAAAGGGTAAATCATTTCAAATACCTTGGCAGCTGGTTAAATGTAAATTGTGACTCTGATGAAGAGATAATAACCAGGATCGAAATATCACGTAAGGCTTTTATGACGTGGAAACCAGTTTTATGCAACGCAAACCTGTCGATGAATATTCGTAAGAAGGTCCTGAAATGTTATGTGTGGTCCATCCTATTATATGATTGTGAGACATGGACGTTAAAAACCACAATACTAAACAAGTTAGAAGCATTCGAATTGTAGTGCTATAGACGAATCCTAAAGATATCGTGGGTTTCGCACACTTCCAATGAAGATGTTCGTCAAATGATCAATTCAGAACGTCTGCTCATAAACACCATAAAGAGGAGAAAAACAGAATACTTCGGCCATATAATTAGAGGACCTAAATACCACCTACTTCGCCTTATCATACAAGGAAAAGTGGAAGGAAAGAAATGGATTCGTCGAAAGAAACTTTCGTGGCTGCGTAATATTAGACAATGGTGTGGTTCCACAGTAGAAGAATTATTTCGCGCAGCCGACAGAGAAAGGTTTCAAGAAATTGTAAACATGATGACGGCCAACGTCTGAATACGGACACGGCACCCAAAGAAGAAGATATACATTTACTTTAAGAAGACTATAAAAGTTTTGAATTTTTATTTTGTTAATTTAATTTGGTGCTACGTATAAATATAGAATTTTAGTGTAGAGTGTCTCAGCAGCATTTGATGATAGGTGAAATAAAATTAGAATCGCTCTCATGATATCCAATCTCCGATAGGAGAGGCACTCATAGAAGAAGAAGACGTTCGCATATCACACGGTAGACCGCATATCAGACGGTAGACCGAACCGGCATCCAAAATAAGTCAATAATTAATAAATAATGTTACAAAAAACTACAAACAATAGATTGTTTTATTAAAATATAAACAAAACACATCTAGAGGACTATTTTTATGACCGGTGTTATAGACCTTGCGCGACTACTGATACACAAAATTAAACTGCGTCTACTGAAAGGTTAAGTGAAACTTCTTCAAATTTGTTTAGCTGAATACATTGTAATATTGTCTCTTTTATCACGTGAAATTTAAGTTTTTTGTACACAAAGTTTTATTTATTTATTTTATTTTATGCAAAAGTTAAAACATTGTTACGCATACTTTTTCATGGTACATTACATACGGAATCGCTTCTAACCAAATTGATTAATTTAGAAAATTAAAGGCGGAAAACAATGGCTTATTATCTGGTACGCAATGTTTATCTCTATTTAGTGGGCTAAATTCCAATTCCCTTGTTTCTAAAAAAACAAAATAAAAGGTCTCCAAGTAAAGGTGCGTCTCGCAAAACGGATGTACCTGTGACCGGAAATTCATTTGTTGTAGAGTGAAAAAGTGTTTACTGCCCCGATTTGTTGTCGTTCGCCATGTTTACACAGCACAGGAAACGGTCCAATTGTCGTCCCTAGAGATCGACTTACATACGATTCGTACGGTAAAACAACGGTTTTGATTTAGCATAAATCAGTGCTGCAGATAGATCGATTAATAATGCATATTTATACAAATACAGGATGGGAATGTGTATGCCTCAATCATTTATTAATATGAACATTTGACTAACGTCTGATATCGACTGTCAATATTATGAGGGATACGTGCAAATTCGGTCTCGAGCTTAAAATATTTTATGTAAATTCGTCCCGTAATTACTAAGATTTCTGATAGTGCATGTACAAATTTGGTCCCTATAACCTCTTCGTTCAATAACAATTCGTTCTTGGAGGAAAAACATTTGTTAACATATGTCTTATTAAAACGTAATTATCCTTTACAGTTTATAAATAAAGCATTTTTAACCATCGACTAAATAGAACAGAACAATTAGAACGAGATCCTATAGCATACACAATAAATAATACGAGGAATATAACAATACCATACATAAAAATATTATCAGAAAAACTTAAAAGGATAGGAAATAAATTCAACATTCAATACAACATACACATTGAGATCTGTTTTATCTAAAACGAAACCTAACAATGATCAAGAAAGAACAAAAAATTGTATTTATAAAATACCTTGTGAATGCGATCAATTTTATTTAGGTGAAACATGAAGGCCATTAAACGTTAGAATAAGTGAACATCAATCTTATATTAAAAATAGAGATTATATAGAGATCTCAAGTATACAAACATGCATAGAAAAATGAACATATTGTTCAATTGAAATGATTCAAGTATAGTCCTAAAAGAAACAGTTGGTAAAAAAGGGGAAATCAAAGAATTTAATTATGCTAAATAAGAACAATTGTTTCGCAAATTCTTTGGTAGAATGCAATAGGATTTGGTTACCCATATTAAAAGAGGAAGTTAATAAAAAGAAAATACCACCAAAAGTCAGTAACATATTAAGAAAGCATCATTTATGTTTTTAAATAACAAACATATAAAATCAGAATTTGGCGTTTATTGAGAGTAAACTAGATAGACAGATAGATGGTTTATTGGTAATAAATGAATACAAAAGTATTTACAAAAGTCAAAGAAAAAAAATATGCCAATATAGTTAATATACACATTAATATAAATATAAAATTTAAAATATAGGGTGTTTAAAATATAGGTAGTACAGTGTTTTAACTTATACTGTTGACAATTACAACAAATTAAAATTGGAAGTAAAATACTCCTCATATGTAAAAAAGGCATTTACTATAAGGTAACTCTTAATTTTTGCCTTAAACTGATGAAAATTAAGAGCTTTTATTCTAGCTGGGGACTAAGTTGTAGAATTTTGTGGCTAAATACCTTTAATCATTTCTGGATCTCTCAATTCGGCCAAATTCTGGTATAAGATTATTGTTAAATCTGGTGGGATAATTGTGAAAATCTATGTGCGTAAAATTTTTAAAGCTCTAAAGGAGTTTCTACAGTCTGCTCTATAATAGAGCCCAGAGATAATACGAACACACTTTCTTTGTTGTCAAACACTTTATCAATATGACAAGAGTGACCCCAGGAGAGAATAGCATCTGTCAGATGAGAATGAAAATTACTATGATAAGCTTTTCAAAAAGTTTCCCTGGAAGTCAATTGTACAAGGTTCCTGAAGAGGAAAAGTTGTCGGGAAAGCTTTTTCGATAGATTAACTATATATTGTTCCCAGGTTAATCCTTCATCCAAATATATCCCCAGAAACTAAATGTAAGACCAAATATTTACCATGTCGGGATAGAATTATGAGGTTTTCTCCTGATTTTTTTCCTCATAATTTACTATGGAATCACTAATAACAGGAGAATTTTACTCTCATCTGGCATGTGGTTGTCTTTTTAAAGATGACTTACGTGCTATGATTTTTGTTTGACAGATATTCTCAAGATAAAGTTGATTTCGTGTAATCGGATGAGCTATCTTACAATAAAGTCGTCCCAGGAACGTAACTCTGCAATATTGACGATATCATTTTAAAGTCGTCTACTTTAAAATGTATAATATATGTCCGAATTGTCAATAAAAATGAGTCAGATAAACTTAAATTATTAGATGATTTTTTCCCTAAGTAATAAAAAACAAAAATTGTTTAATATATTAATGTTTGTATTTTGAGAACGATTCGGAAGTGGAAATTGAAACTTCAATAAACTCATTTTAACCTTCAATTGTGGCTTATTCCCATTAAAATAGTATCTACTCTAAAATGCCACAAGAAAATAGATATCGTGTAAACATATTACAAGTAGATATGTAGTTAGGTTTTTGCAATGTTCTAATAGTGTTCAAAACAGCCCTTATAACAATAATAATTAAAATAAACGAATAAACTGTTTTTAAGTGTTTCCATTTATAAACTACCATCAACTGTTTTAGTCACACCAACAACTACACCAAAAGAAAATTTTTGTTAGTTATATCACTTTCTAAATTTAAACATACTATAGTTTATTTTTATGAACGAGAGAGTAATTAGCATAATTTTAATTGGTACCTCCGGCCACTCCATGGGCGTGCTCAAGATTAATTGAAAAATTACTTTGAATAATTGTAAAGAATAAATGAATTATTTCAGTGTTATAAAATGTTATGTGTATGTAAACAAAAGTGACCTCTTTTATCACACACTATATTAGAACTGACTGGCCTACATTAAAAAGGGTTTTAAAAAATTCACATTTTTTTTAATTTTTAAAAATTACAAAAGAGAAAAAGAGTTTTTAAAACCGTCTAAGGTAAGTTAAATAGATGAATAAAAATATTAATATAAAACTTACAGCTACTTGTTACAAATCCAAATCAGATTCAGAAGATGAACTTTCAGAACCAAGATTTATAATAACTGGCTCGATCATTTTATCAGTAATATTGTCCAGCTTCCACATTTTTTCCTCTTCTTTAATAGTGTGATTTACTGCCTTTTCCCAGTTTTCAGGTTTTATATTATTTACGGCCTCCAAAAACAACTGTTTAACATCATGAATTTTAAAAGTGGTATTTTTTCTTGAAACTTCACTCTTTATCTGTGCCCATACCAGTTCAATCGGGTTTAATTCACAATGATATGGTGGGGATCTAAGTACTGTTATTCCACGATTTTTGGCAATTTCATCAATTTCGTATTTTTTAAATTTTTCTTTATGAAGGGCACACAACGAATAAAGTTCCTTTCTTATAGATCCGGGATGGTACGTAATATTTTTTGAACTCAGCCAATTCTGCAAGTCTTTTTTTAACCACTTGGTTGTGGGCAGTCCTTCTATAAGTCTGGAGTGATAACTTGCATTATCCATTACTATTACACAGTTCTTAGGAAGAAGATCTATCATTTGTTCGAACCATTCTTGAAAGACATCAGCGTTCATGTCTTCATGGTAGTCACCGGTACGAGTTGATTCAAAAGTTAATAAACCACCTTCAACAAAACCGTCTGAACTGCCAATGTGTACTATTATCAGCCTGCGTCCCTTTCCTGATGGTGGGTTTAAACCAGTAGATAAGTTATTTACAAAAGCGTCCCTTTGACTTGTAACAGATTCATCCTGCCAAAATTTATTTGGTGTATGACCCTCGTTGATCCATGTTTCATCAAGATAAAATATTTTTCTTTTTTGGTTTATCATTTTCTTTACGGTTCTTAGAAAATGTCTTCTCCATATGACAATATCGCTTCTTTCTAATAAAATAGACTTTCTGGGATTCTTTTTCCAGCGGAAGCCTATTTTTTTAAAAGTTTCCATAACGCACTTCGACTCATTTCTGGGTAATCCTTATCATCTCGAACTGAGACAAGAACTTTATCCAATGTTGGAAATTCTTGTCTAAAGAAGAATTCATGCACTTTCCGTCGAAGTCCTTCTTTAAAATGGTATTCTATTTGAAATTTTGGTTTTCCTGGAGCATTACGTGGCATTTGAAAACTACCACTTTTCTCTTCTTTAATAACTCTGTAAATCGTAGATTTCCCAACACCAAGTGTACTGCTAACTAACTCAACGGTCTCATCAACACTTTCACATAAACGTTTGTCTGCAAATGATTTAAAACAATTAAATATTAATGTTTTGTTCAGTAACTGTTAAAGGATCAAATTTGCGGCGTTTACACGGCACTTCCAAATTTTCCATAACACTAGTACACACAATAAACTGCACCTTGCAACTGAAGTACCTACTATTAGTGAACTGTTAAGAATTTTGAATACGCCACTTGGACCTTCCTACAAAATGGAAAAACCCGCATCACATTTTCTGTGGAATAAGTTTAGAAGGTAATTATCTAGTCAATTACTGTCGTAGATTCCTGGAATTAAAGAATTAAATGTTTGATTGTTGAAACCCTTACTTCGTGGAATGCACTCATTTCAGATAAAATAAAACGTTTTATTTTATCTAAAGAATTAAACTTTATTTTGCAAATAGGTAGGTACTTATTAAACTTTTATTGGTTATATATAACCAATAAAATAAACATCTTACATTTCTTGCAAATTCATTAGTACCTGTTAATCTCCATCACTCCGACACTGGCAACCTTATTTAGGGATTAGTAACCCTCACAACTATTGTATTCTATTCTGCTCCAACCTTTATACCTGGTGGTCATACTCAATTTAAAATTGTTTTCCTATATACTTCTGTAAACTTGTTGACAAATATCTGTTTTTCATTGAGTGTCCCGTATCAACAGTTTAGGGATTTGCATACATAATTTATTGTTTTATTACTCTCTCATACATAAAAATACACTATAGCTGTTAGGGTGTTAAATTATTCACTAATTAATTGTTTAAGGATTACTTGACAGGTCTATACTTATTAATTTGGGTATGACAGCTCGCACAAAAAGACACCTATGTTTCATTTTCAGTACTGTTTATTTCGGGCTATTCGATATATTAACAAAGTTATGAATAAAACAATACTAAAGGGAAAAAAGCAATAACTTATCCTAGCCAAACAAATATCCGAAGAGACAGAATCTATCGTAGTAAAAAGAATAACATAAAGATTATTATTTCTTTATTGTAGGTACTCTAAAGAATTAGAAGAACAAGGGATCAATATTTTAATAATTGTAGATTTCTATACATTATTTCAACGTCAACATTCAACTTGTTAAGTGGGTTAATTTTAGATAGCAAGCACTGGCTACATTTTTTTCCAACTCCTACTTATTACCTTAATAGTTATCGGAGAAGGGTACTTAGGAGTTGTCTTTTTTCTTTCTACGAAATTATCGGGCACGTCAATCGCCCGTTCTTGATTGTCGTCATCGAATGAGATTCCCAATAGTTTGTCGTACCCTACCTGTTATAAGCAAATAACAAAATAAGCAATAACAAAATAAGAACAACATAAATAAAATAAATTAAAAGGTTAGAACAAATAAAATTGTTACTTAAACTTAAACAAACGAGTTCATACAAAGGAAAACTAAAATTGTAACTATTCCTACCAAATATATTATATGCACCTGATGCGGGAAAGTAACATTACTGCTCACGAAGCCCGAAAAATATCATCCTCATCTATCTATCATAATAGTTTTTTACTGGACCCAACTGAATAGACCGGTTTGGCAGTTCAAATGTGTCATATAGGATATAACAAAATGACTCTAGGGATTCATAAATTCATAAAGAACATCTAGGGATTCATAAATTTTTTAGTGAAAATATTTTTAAATAATCAATCAAAACGCCAAATTCATTATTTTGCTCTTAACTTAAAAACATGTCTATTAAGAGATTTGACGTCAACAGACATTTTCAAAAAAAAAAAAAATCACAAAATGACATATATTACATTAAAATCGGATAATAAACAAAAAAGTTATTGCAAAGTGAACAACAAAATCGCTGTAACAATAAAACACTGAAAACTTTGTTTTCAAACTTCCACAAAATTTATTTTTAACTCTTATCACTACAGCTGTTTCGGCTGATTGCCTTTCTTAAGTGATCTATTTTTGGCATGCGTTCACACTTTATAGAGTCTAATGAAATAGGTTGAGGAGGGGAGAACTGTTTGTCTCAAGTTGGTCATTCAGAATTATATATGTGTTTTTTAATTTGTTGATTTCCATAGATTCTAACAAGGATAGCTTAAGGCCTTTATTTGAATGTGAAGAATTTTAAATTCGTCATTAAAAGAATGATTGTGATCTAGAAGGTGAAGTGCGTATGTAGAATCTGTTTTTCTATTATTGAAAGCCCTTTTATGTTCTGCTATTCGTTTATTAAAGTTTCTACCAGTTTGACCGAAGTAAGTTTTTAGGCAGTCGCCACATTTAAGTTTGTACACACACCAATGTGTAAGTGTTTTTTTTTTGGCTCTTCGGAAAGCTGGTGTTATTCCTTTCTTTATTATATGTTTGGTTATTTTTGTTGATATTTTGCCGGTATATGTAATCGAGCAGAAGGTACTGGGTTTTTTCTCTGGTGGTGGAAATACTAATTTCAGGGCTTTCTTGTGTAGTTTTGTATTTAACATTTTATTAATTATTTGTTCGTTGTATCCGTTGTTAACTGCTATTTGCTTGATGATATTTAATTCTGTCTCAAAGTTGTATTTTGACATCGGAATTTCTGTTAATCTATGTAACATCTTATGATAGGCTGCCAGTTTATGTTGGGTTGGATGGGATGATTAATTGTGTATAGTTGTGTCAGTATGGGTAGTTTTATGACATATGGAGAAGTCATGTTTGTTTTTAAGTCTAATAATTTTTAAATCTAAAAAATTTATGAATTGATTTTGTTGTGTTTCTATTATAAATTCAATATGACTATGAAGTGAATTAATATATGATAAAAATTGATCGAGTTGCCTGTTAGTTCGTGTGAAACATACCAGTACGTCATCTACGTATCTTCACCAATATAAAAACTTTTTAAATACGGGATGTTTTGAAATCTTTGTCTCTAGTAGTAACGGTCGAATCCATCAATTATAACAAAATCGCTGTTTTTGAATATTGTTTTATTTTTGAATACTTTTTTATTATTAATTAAAATTTATTTAATTACGCTATTCTCGTTTTTGAATTGTGTGCCAAAGATGGGCCAGATCAATTGAACAGTTTTTGAAAAATGTATAAAAAACTATTTAATTTGAACTAAATTCTACGAAGATATTGTTTTTACGGGGTATAGGTACCGGCATTACTAAACAGAAAAAAATCTATTCTTCCTCTTCAAACTGACGTTTGGTAGAAGTCTTGAGATTTTATAGTATCCAAGAGATGATATTCCAAAGTTCGTTACTCACACCATTTTCGACATTTTTTACCAATTTACTAACCTAGCATATTCAATAGATTCAACACAACAGCTAGTCTTACCTGTAACGTGGGTTTCGGGGGAGGATATCTAGGTGGGGTTTTATTCCTAGCGATGAACGTATCCGGCACGTCAACGGCCATTTCCCTGTGGGGTCCGTTATCGCTGGGAATCATCATCACCATGTTATTGTACTCTAGGCTGTCGTCTAAGTCGTCTGGGTGCTTTTTCACCGGCTCTTGGTCCCCGTCGAGAACAACTATACTGCTGCCCGAACGTCGACGAGGCCTGTAACAAAAACATAGAGGATAAGATTTGAAATTTAATATCATGTTACATTATTACACAAGACTAAGTTATTTTTACATAAATTTGAAGAAACCTAAAAACATCTTGGAAAGTAATTAAAGTACAGGAAATGCTGCATAAAAATAAAAGAGTAAACCCTCTACCGCATACGAAACCTTTTATGGTTTCAAAATTTCAAAGTGTTGCAGTATGCATAATATTCACCACCCATCGAAAATTCTGCTAATCATAGAACATCACAGCTAGTACTTATTATACTACGCATCTGTATGTTTGGTTGCCTACCAGTCAAGAGAAAGATCGTTATAACCTCATTTGTTTGTACACGTGTAGTAAATGAACCGTACCTTATGTACGACTTCAATTTGAAGCAATATTTTTATCGAATTAGTGAATTTACTTCCACTAGGAAACTAAGTTCCTGTAGCTGGCTGTATACCATATATCACAAAAAAATTTATTTCAAATCCTTTATAAAAGGTATATAATAAAATGCCCAAACGGGCTATCACCATTACATTACAGAACATTTTCGGAATGTTAATTCCATCACCAGTGTAAACGGGGTATACATGCTATGAGCCACCAAAATATATGGGTCAAAACCCGTTAAATGTTACAAATTTATAGTTGTTTTACATTATAAGTAATTACAAATTAGGATGTTTAAGTTACCGTTGGGGTAACATGGCGACGTATGACCCTACATAGGTTATATGGTCCTGAGACGAAGTGTCTTCGAGGACCTGTTGATAACAACCTGTTAAGTTATACCTACTATTTTCGTGTAATATACCTGTACTGGAAGACAACACAATTGCCACCTTTGCTGCTATGCGGCGATACAAGAAGTAGGAAGGACTAGTAAAAAGGCGACCAACAAGGTTCAAATAGAAGTTAACCAAACTCATAAATGGACAGAAATATGGAAAATTAGGCTGAATGAACCTAAATCTGTTCATATTAATTTTACCAACAAAAAATACAATATATACCAGTTATAATCAACAATATCCAACACAAAAATGAATATTATACTGCTAAGTATTTAGGTATAAACCAGAGGTTCCTAACCAGTGTGCCATGGCACATTGTTGTGCCATGAAGTCCCTGTAGGTGTACCGCGAAAGTTTACCGTTTTTTACTAGTATTTACTTTTTAACTCGCCGTGATAATAACTTTTACTGACTATTTTTCATTGAATAGAACTTTTGTTTTGCGTTTGTCTACTGTTTCAATAGTTCAACACTCGACCAATAGAATGCGGTAGCAGCAGAATCGTATGCAGACGTGCGTTAGTTCAACATAATATGTTAAACTAACTTTATTACCTCTTGTGGCGATAGTGTTTGAAGCCACTCACATCTAGAGATGAGCATCGTTGGAAAAACAAGCAAAAGCTTTTACTGTGGATAAAAAAAGTTGAAAATCAAGAAACGTAGGACATGTTTTAATTAACAAACAATTGCAATGTAGAACCAAATCTGTCAGACCTTTTTTGAAAAGTCTTAGTAAGTCGAATGACAATATCAAAAAGTATTTTCCCTCTCTCGATACGTCATCAATGGACTCGGTGGGAAATCCATACATCGAGTCGGCTTATGACACGGCTTTGTTCACTAAGGATGAGAAAGGTGAACTGATAGATACAAAAGTTAGTGTTTTTAAGTTTTAAGTTAGTGTTAAGCTAAAAAAGCATTTTACTAAGGCTTTTTTAGTGTTCCGTTCTAAGCTATTTCTATTCCAGCTGCTTCTGCTACTTTATCCATCTGCTTTATGCCATCTGGTATAGATGGTATACCAGAGTACAGAGTTTTCTATACACAAGTATAGAAAAAGTTATAGAATGTTATCTCTCATTATTACCGTTACGTTTCTAGATTGTGTGAGTTATATTAGACAAAAACTTATTGCCATATATGGCATTGCTATATACTAAATTTAAACACTTCTAGAACAACTTCTTATATAAATCAAGAATATTTGAATCACCAGTAGAGACCGGAATATATGCAAAACGGATTTTTTGCATATCTGGCATGTTGTGCATAAAGTTTATATTTTTACAAGAAATCTTTTTTCGATTTATAAACGTTTATATACAGATATAAAGCATAACTTTTTAATTGAAGATTTTAAAAAGCAAATTATTGTCAATTGTTTGATAACAATAACACTAGTTTGTGAAATTGCCTATCTACTATAAGTATGTATGGTTACTGTATTTTTTAAATTATTGTTATTTTGCATATATTTAAACAAATACATGTGAAAATTGTATTTCAATCTTACTAAAGTTTTAATCTATATAAAAAATACGACTTTTTAAATATTAACAGGAAAGTATTTTAGATTATTATTATTATGTAAATTGTCTTAAATACAAAATTTATGAACAAGACGATAATTATTAACGTCTGCATATTTGTACCAATTTTGTGCATATATATGCGCATTTGTGCTTTGTTTTTTATTGCATATTTTCCAATTTCTACACATTGGTAATATTTCAGTTCTCTAATTCCTTTCAGTGGTAGGTACTCTTTCCTCTAAATTTAACATTTTTGTAGCCTTTTAGTTTTTTGGTGTATATATCCAGGTTCTACAACTGTACAATCGTTAAATTTATTTTCGTTTGTTTCATATTTAAATAATCGACTTTTGATTAGCGTACAAAGTTAAAAGCCACGGAATTTTCAACTTCTCTCTTTCTCAAAACCCGACAAAACGATATTCCCAGAACCTTTGACAATGAAAACCACAAAATTCGAAACTCATTTTAGTTAATAATGCAAATATATCCATTAACATTTTGTGAAAGTTAAATACATTATTTCTCGATTTTATTACGGTTTTCTATTGTTGGAATCGTTAATTATCAGGTAAAAGTATTTGTACAACTGAATTTTAAGAGGTCTTTATTCAATTTCATTATCGCAGTCAAAACAACACAGGTAGTTCTACCATTTTAGCATAGGGTATTATAAACATTGTCATTATAGATTGTAAAGAGATGCACAGTAAATTTCACGGATTTGAGAATATTTTGGATTAGGGATGAATCAAAGCTTTGACTTACTTTACCTTACTGTATGATTTTTTTTATTTTTTATAAAAAAATCTATGATTACAAACTTTACTTCAAGATTACCATGTTAGAATGAATAAAGGAAAGAATCCCATGTTTCTGCAAAACTACAGGCTCATAAACTTACTACCAGCAGTCAACAAGATCGTAGAAAGAGTAATACTAAGCAGACTACAAGCTGAAACATACGAAATAGGACTAATCCCAAATGCTCAGTTCGGATTTAGAACAGAACACTCTTATTATAAGTAGAGATGAATAGAACTTTTCTGCCTTTACGTGAATTTTGACTCCGCCTTCGCGCAGCTCCGTGGTCAGGAGTGTTTGCTCTATCTTTACTTAGACTGAAACAATACATAACAGCTGGATTTGACAATAAACAGTACACAGTAGCAGTGTTCCTGGATGTAAGCAAAGCCTTTGACTTGTCTTTGTTTACCATACATGCCTAATATACAAAACGAGAGACTACGAATACAGTTAGGCCATGATTAGACTGATCTCTTCGTACTTGAGCAACCGAAGCTTCAGAGTACGGATAGGACAAGTCTATTCAAGCATGGAGCTTCGGAGGTTGAAGTGCCACAGGGAGCAGTCCTGTCACCTCTACTGTACACAATATATACCGCAGATGTTCCAAGAACACCAGGAACACTACTCAGCCTCTATGCAGACGACACAGCGATTGCGGCCACAACACCAAAACTTAGAAATCGCGGTCAACAATCTACAGACAGCATTGGATAACATTGAAGACCATTGAAGTCCATTGGATACACCATTGGTGTATCCAATGGAACATAGCAATCAATGCAGAGAATACACAAGGAATAATATTCAAAAAGAAAACAGAACCCCCGAGAAACAGCTGTTGGTGCAAGATAATCCCATCGAATGGAAAAACGAAGCGGAATACCTAGAAGTCACTATGGACCAAGGCTTAACATTCACGCAACATGTGGACAAAACCATCTAGAAAACAACAAAAACCAGAGCAGCAATAAGAGGACTCACAGGTAGAAAAAGCAAACTACGCATAAAGACGAAAATGAGATTGATAAATAGCAGCATCACAGTTCCAGTGATCACATACGCATCTCTCGCATGGGGACACATAAGCAATTCAAATAAAAAGGAAATACAAGCAGCCCACTATAACATCCTCAAAGAAGCTGCAAATGTACCCAGATACGTCCCTGAATGCTTTCTCTTTAGAGAACTGCAGCAAGTAAGGGTGATAGATAAAATGACAGAAAAAGCCAGAATTCGGTATGTAGAATTAGAGAATCACCCAAGCTCGATCCTGCTTGAGATAATAAGATATGATGTGTTCCATAGAAGGAAGCACAGAAGTTCATGTTTAATTTCAGGACAACCTTAAATCCACACGAAAGCATTTGCCTGATAGTGAGCCCCTATCGCAATCAATACACGTCGCTCCAATTAATTGTAACACCCGAATGTTATTCTAAGGGGCGTACAAATCTCTCAGACTGGGTTAATCAAATTGCTTGCTATTGCATTTTTTCATTAGTATTCTAATTATTAAACCAGTGACCTCAATAAGTTTTACATAAACACATATTTAATCTGATATTAGACGAGATGATACAGCTAGTAAAAAGACCATACCAAATGAGAATTACGGAAAAGTACGATATGCACATGATAAACATCTGATAGTAAAGAATGAGGACGATCTACAAATTAATAATATTAGATTGGTTCAGTACTATTATTATTTAATAATACTTATTTATTCTGATTTGGTTTAGATCACATAACAGGAAAATTACTGGGTAACATTCCCTAGTGCTTGATGTATGCTGATGATGTAATGTTACTCTCGATAAGCACAGTACAGTTTTTACGGCAGAATAGACGTTTGTGC